CATTTTAACTTTTAAAACAAGAATATACTTCTCAAGTTATTGCTTTAAGATCCTTTCCATTAGAATTCTATGACAGGAGAGATGAAGAAGAATTTTTTTTATTTCCAGTGATGTGTTACCTTGAGTTCCACTAAATCAATGCAACCGCCAAGGCTATGAGGTAGTCCATTCAGAAGATTATTGGAGCAATCAAGCCTGCAGGCAAACAATTCAATATGAAGTCTGTAAGTCGTCACAATGCTTAAATTTTGACATCCTATAATAGCATATTAAGTTGTCATAAAAAGTTTTCTCATACTAGTATACTACAATTGCTGCAACACAAGAAATTAAATTTAGATATTTTTATTATATATTGAGATTTATTTCCGATTTATTACGAATTCTTGATTTATTAAATTTGTTTTGAATAAAATAAACCCATCTGGATATATTAGGGTTTGAATTTGAAATACAATAATTAATCCCAATTTTAATTCAAACAAAGCAAAATAAATCCAAAAATCCCAATAAATTGTAAAAAATATTTAATAATCTAAACCTAATTTATTGTACTTCATCAATTAAAGATACAATCTTATACTTCCAACTGAAATGCATGAATTAAATCTGGCACGTTCCATGCAAAAAATAAAACAAAATGAATAAATATTGATGGCCAAATTATATTTTTTGAGAGCATAATTTATCAGAAAAAAATGTCATTCATTTGAAAAAAAAAAACAATCAAAGTAAAACTTAAAATTTCTTCGTTAACTTTCAGCTTGTCATCAGGATAATTTAACGGTATTATGAAGCATGAACACTACAGAAAATCTTTCCTGTTTGAGTAAGACCCCTTTCAAACGCATACTCCACCAACCCACCTCGACAATTGTCTAACAAATTAACATCATTTGATGGTTTTTATTCAAAAATAAGTTGGGGTGTGCATCAACATGGATAAGATACGAAAATTATTTCTGTTTAGTAAAAATTTGAGCATATGATGGACAGGCAATGGGAGTTCCGATGTCAAGTTTTATATTCAATTGGTGACAAATCAATAGCTTCACATTTATATGGGCATCTTAAAGATCAGATACTTCAAAGTTTTTCTGATATTTTCTGTTAACAATTCAATTGCTAAAAGCCTAAAATCATGTCTAATGATTAATCCTAATATTAAAGCAAAGTTGACTTGATGTAATTTAAAAAAAAAATTATGATTAAGCAAATATAATTTTTTCCGTGTTGATCTTTTATTTATGTATTTATTTATTTTTTTGTGGTACATCTGATAATATACTTCTTTTTGTAATGTTATTTTATTGAAAATATTGGCAATAGATATTTAATTTGTATTTTCTAGTGCTAATGGAGTGAAAGGTACTTTTGTATTATTATTTCATGTCCATATCGATAACAATACTTTATGGAGTACCACTGAATAAAAATATTGAGAGTGTGAAATTTATGATCCATTATGTTCATAGAATGACATTGCATGTCAATCAATAAACTGAATATATTTCAAGGGACAAGATTTAAGAAATTAAAAATTAGTTGCAAACAGTTCAATAACCAAACAATTGACTATAATAAAAATTCAACAACTAAACCACTCTTAAAAAATTTCAATTACCAACTCAAGAAATTTGAATGGCCACTTACAAATTAGTTTCGAAGATCTGCGGACATTTTGCAGAATTCTCATGTACATATATATATGTATATAACACCAAAATCTTTATATTTACTTCTATAACAACATAATCTCTTAATTACATCAAGAATACTACTACATCAGCTTACATAAAGAGAAATACACATTTTCTTTCATAGGTGTTCTTATCATTCAAGTAAATATAAATATTTAGATGCTTGACATGTAAATATACAGAAATTTAATGGGATGTATGTAAATTCCCAATTAGTTCTATTTACGAGATATTCTTGAGCCTCCTATCTTACGATTAATTTTAATTTTTTTATAAAATACCCTAATTTGTAACCAGGTTTCGTACTTGAGGCGGCTTAGCTCAACAAAGCAAATAAACCAAAAGCTTTAGACCTCTCAGCTCTTGACAATAAACTTCATGCATCATATGAATTTAGAGAATGGGAAAAGTCATTTGTCAAGGTTGTGACAAACTATGAACAAACAGAGCAATGCAGGAAATCAAAGCAGATACAAAAACTCATAATTCCATTCTAAATTGCAGAATTAAACAACTTTTCTCTCTCTTAGAAACAAATCCAGATGAATTGTGTGACCAATCCTCTGGGATAATGATTCCTTATAATGAAAGATCTAGGGTAGCTCCACATTCTAATGCAAAGAAGCAGCCACTTAACGTAAGTCAATCCGTGTCATTAACGTGCAAACATTGTCATATATGAATGGGTTGATCCAAAACTGAATGGCAACTAATTTAGACGTGAAGTTAAAGTGCTAGATAAGTAGGACTCTGGCGCCCATATTAAAATGACCTGATAACAAGTACTCCAAGCCAAGAAAATGATAGGGGTGTATACGAGCCAAGTGTTTGTATGTGTTCAGCTCATTTAAATTTTGTTTTTGTCTCGAAATATGTTCATGTTCGAAATGCTCGTGAATAGCATGTTTGTGTTTAGCTCGTTTCAAATTTATTTGCTTATTTTAGCTCGTGTATGACTCAAAATTAGCTCGAATTATTTAAATAATAATAAAATTTAACATTTTTTTAAATATAACATAAAATTTTAATATAAAAAAGTCATAATATCAATATTAATTTAAACATTTAATTAATTCGAGTCAAAACAAACTAAATAAGGTCGAACAATTGTTTTTTCGTGTTCGCCTCATTTTAAATTGAACTAAAAAAACTGTTCCTGTTTGGCTCACATATTTGCTGAACAAACATGAGCTATTATGCTAGCCAAACACAAGTTGTTTCCAAAAGTCAAACATTTTGGCAGCTCTACTTAACAGTAAATAGATTTTAAGTCACCTAAAGTCAAATTCATTAGTGCACCATTTAGATAGTTTTCATCCTTTATATAACTTGGCCTATAGTTGAATCAAATGTATCACAGCAGTACTGACCAAAAAAGCAAAGATTTAGCATCCCAAACTCGCCTTATGGTACTAATTTCATGTTTGTAATCATCATTAATAAATTTTAGGAAAAAAAATCATTTCAAATTTTTATATGTTTTGATAAATGTTAAGTTTAAATTTTGAATGTACAAATGTAATACTTGGCTGAGACACGTGGCATGCAAATACAAGTACAACTAACAAATATTTCTTTGAAACAAATTCAAAACAATGGTTTTAAATAAGGATCAAATTAAATTTTGATCTACATATTAAAACTTTTACAATATATAAATGCTTACTACCCATTAGACTTTTAAATAATACAATAATTGGTGAAAATAAGCAATGTTCGTATTGTGTAATTTGATTGAGGCATCACACTATTGTATGTCCTCAAAGAGTAAATAGGCATTTGAGGTCGATGGCAGAGCAACATTATCTTGCCAGCTTGGCAACCCCCATTCAAACAATCCCAAAGATAGTTGGGCTATGTCGAGTCCTTCGTGTTAGTAAGAGGAAGAAGAAACTAAATGTCTTTGTCCATCCTTGGTTTTTTGGTTTGTCAGCATGATGGAGTCGTTGCAATTTAGAGTCCTATTCAATCAAGGTTTTTAGTTCAACATCACTTCTCCATGAAATAACTTCCTCAACCTTCTATGCTAATGATCTCATCCTTCTCATGTATCATATTTGTCATTTCTCAATTTGGCCGCATAGGATAATCGACCAATTCCACTCTTAGTTATATATTGACCATCCTTTGACTCTATCCTGCTCCTACTTGGATTTAGGGCCTATCATGACAGAAATAACAAATGCCTATATTATATCTCTTTGAAAGCACCAAAGAGTGCAATCGAACTAAAATAGGAGAAGCAAAATTAGAATCACACACGCAAATGTGATACAAAAATAAAAGTTTAAACAGGGACAAGAAAACTTTGATTAACAATGGTCGGATCAAAAATGAACTGCATCAAAAGAGAACAAATGCATAAATTAAAGCACAAAATCTCATCTTATGAAACTCATGATGGAAAAAATCTCACCAAACTTCGAGCAACCTTTCTAAGAGTCAAAGAGAAGGAGAAAATATCGCTGAACAAATCTCTAAGACCAAATACAAAAATCTCTTTGCATCCTCAAAGCAAGTCACAAGTGAAAGGAAACCCTCATTGCTCTTCGGTCACACACAACTCGATCACACAGAGAAGCTCTAATCTTTGAAAGAGGCGTTCAATCTAGCAGTCCTCAATTCACTTTGATCACAAAAAAAAATCCCGAATTCCAGCCACCCACTGGCAGTTCAGAATTAGAAGAGAAGAAGGCTATAGAAAATTACACTATCATCCTCGTTATTTATATAATTAAAATGGTATCTATAAGTTCTAAGCAATACAAAGAATTGTATGATCATTGTTCTCCTCCAGGTAAGCAATTGCAAGTGAAGCTCTCATGACATGTATGACATAACACATAACGGTTGAAAACAAAACATTTTCTTTGCCATCTAGAACAAAATTAATATGATAGTCTTAAAATGTAGGGGTATAGGCGCGCGCTTGTGTGTGTGTGCATACATACATATAACTGTATGAGCAAAAAAATTGTAATCATATAACTTCAAACATTCGCCTTCTGAATTAGAGGAAGAACCTCCAGCCAATGAGATAATAAGACAATCACGCATAGCTTAGAATTTGGGAGGATATGATTAAAGCAACTGTCAAGCAGTCCATGCAAATAAATTTAACTCAATTTCAAAGTTTCCTGAACACTTCTAACAAACATTTCATAACTAATCTATTTGAAAAATTCATAAATAATTTCATGCCATTGGAGCATATAAAAATGTCATACTTGATTAACGAAGTTAAAGAGCCAATATCTTCAGGAATACTGGTTAGCGAGTTGAATGACACGTCCAATGATTTTAGTAAAGAAAGCCTGATGAATAAAAACGATTTAATTAGGTAAGATAAAAAAAATAATGTCAAACAATATTTCACTTTCTTTAATTATTCAATTTGAAAGATGAGCTTACTCTCCTATGGCTGCAGGAAGGCGAGCTAAATTGTTGTGACTAATGTTCAAGATGGATAACATTGTTAAGTTTCTTACATCTTCCCTCAGTACTTCTATCTCGTTATGAGCCAAGATAAGCTTTTGTAACGCCACGCCCTGAAAATACTTAAATAGCATAAGTTTGGTGACAGAGAGGCAAATAGAGGGTTTCTAAGAGATTTTGTATATGATGAAACTTGAAAGAATTAGAGGATAGCACACCTCCCACCACTTTTCATCCTCTCCAGCTGCTTCCAAATTTTTGTAAACTTCATTAGGAACTTCCCTGTAATAATAAAATAAAAAAGAATAAGAATTACATTACATAAATACATTAATGTTTCTTACAAAATGAAATGTCTGAGAGTCCAATATTATAAATTTTGTTATCTGCAACTTCGCATGTAATGACTATATATTGACAATTTGCTAACTACTTGAGAGGCAAACGAATGAAAGTAAACATAGAAAGACAAATCAAATGTTTCGCTTGCGTAAAGCCATAGGATCAGATAAAAAATGTTGATAAAAGTACTAAAAATAAATTGTGTTATGTTTGGCTGCATAAATTTGTGTTTCTGTAAAGGCAGTAAAGGTTCGAGTAGATAATAAGACAGTACAAGGCTCACAGTTTGGAATTTAGTCTTATCATTTGATTTCTCTCTATCAAAGTCCACCTCCTTCCTAATTTCTGTAGAGCGTGGAGCATGTTTGCATAGCCATCACAGCCTACAGGAAGCCAGCAGCAGCAGCACCAGCGCCTGAGGGAGAGCCCGGATGCCCAAAGGGCGCAGGTGCCCAAGCGCTAGACAGGCGCCCGCCCCTGAGCCACCTACACCTCAGAGAGGGCAGCGCCCAGGCGCCCATTTCGGAGTGTTTCAACACCCATATTTATGAATTCAATCTGCAACACCCGGAAGCAGCACTACGACACCAAAAACAGTTTGTATTTTGTTAGGATTTAAGCCTTGTTTCACAAAGATTAATACTCTCTCGCAGTGTATTCTCGATGGTTCATAACAAGTGCGGAGCGGCGTCTATGTCAAGAGGGCGGACTTCGGAAAGTGCTTGCTCTAGTGAGATCAAGAGAAGAGGTGTAAATTGTTGTAAGTTTTAGTAGTGTAGAGAGTGAATCTGAGTGGTGTAATAATGGATTATTTTTCTTTCATAGTGGATTTTTTTGTACAGTGTGGCTCTGTGGTTTTTTCCCTTTCTCGGATTTTTTTCACGTTAAATCATTGTGTGTTTTTTCTGAATTTCCTTGTTGTGCACTTACGCTCAATTTATTGTTTTTGATCTCTCAGATTGATGTATATATCCGCAGTTTAGTTTTGATTGTGAATCGATCAATTGCCAAGCTTACATCCCAACAAATGGTACCAAAGCGAGATTTTTTTTATAAATATCTGTAATTCGAGTGGAAGCAATGGCTGACGAAACAAAATACAATGTCGAGAAGTTCAATTGATCGAATTTTGCATTCTAGAAAATGCAATGGTATTTATTGTATCAAAAAAAATGTATATGTCACTAAAAAGAATCACCAAAAAGTCTGAACTTATAATTCTCGAAAGAGGGGAAGTGTTTGATCAAATAGCCCTAGGTTTGATTCATCTTTCAATTTCAAGTTTGTTATTGTCAACATAGTAAAAGAGAAAACTACGATAGATCTTGTGGTAGCATTGACAATGACGTATAAGAAACCCTCACCCTCAAATAAGGTTCTTCAAATGAAAAGATTATTCAACATGAAGATAATGGAAAGTAGTTTGATGGCAAAACACTTGAATGATTTCAACACAGTGACAAACCAGTTGGTTCTATGGGCATTGAGTTTGATGAAGGGTACAGGGCACTGTTAGTTCTATCTTCATTGTCGAACAGCTGGGATGGATTGGTCACGGCAGTAACTCTTCAGATAATATGAAGTTGAATTTCAATGGGGTAAATGCAGAATGAATGAGTTCGCAAGGAGGAAGCGAGCGATGAATTTCAAGTTCCTGGTTAAATGTTAAGAACAGAGGAAGAAATCTTAACAATAATATAGGTAAGAATAGATTCAAACCCAAAAGAGGAAAATCCAAGTTAGGAAAATAAAGTAAAAAAGGTGAAGGTTGGAATTGCGAGAAGAAATGTCATTTCAATGACTGTAAAACTCCAAGAAAGGTTGGTGGTGGAAGCCAAGAAATAAATCTCTCTACAAATATCTCCACAAACAAAATCCAAGATGACTCTCTGGTTTATCCCTCTTCAGTACTAAATCTTGAATAGTAAATACGGGTGTTTATTTTCATGCATGCCCCAACAAAGAGGTGTTTAAAAACTACACACAGAGTGATTTATGGAGAGTTTAGTTAGGAGATAAGAAGGTCTGCAATATCGTAGGAAAGAGTAATGTTGATATCAAATTTTCAAATGCAACAGTCTGGAAACTCAATGAGGTTAGACAAGGTAAAAGTCTGAAGAGAAATCTAATCTCAATAAGCAGACAGACAAAGTCAGGATTCGTGACTATTTTCATAAATAATTCATGGAAGGTGACCAAGGGGCAATGGTGATGGCATGAGACAATATTGAAGGCATTCTTTACCTGATTAATGAGATCACAAAATAGAGTGAGGTGGCTGAAACCAAAATTGATGCAAGTCTTTGACACTGTGGGCTTAGTCATATGAGTAAGACAGGTATGAAGTTCTCACTTTCAAAGAATCAGGATTTTAAATCTGTAAATTTAGATTTCTGTGAAGATTGTGTATATAGCAAGCAAAAAGTTTCTTTCTTCAAAAGTAGATCAATAGTAACTCAAAAAAACTGGAGTTAATGCATATTAAGGTACCGGGTCCAACTTCAATTGAGTCCATTGAAGATTCCTACTATTTTGTCATTTTCATAGATGATCACAGAAAAAAAGATATGAGTTTACTTCATAAAACATAAATTTAATGTATTTGAGGTGTTTAAAAAGTGGAAGGTTATGGTAGAGACTGAAACAAATTTAAGGCTAAAGGATCTCAAATCAATTAATGGTGACAAGTATCATGATTAGAGGTTCGAGAATTATTATGTATCAGAAGCAATCAGACATGAGTTCATTGTTCCAAGAAAATCATAGCAGAATAGTGTGACTAAGCACATGAATAAAATCATCACAGAATGTGTCATTAGTATGAGATTACATGCATGTGTGCCAAGATAATTCTGGGCAGAAGCAGTGAACAATGTCGGTTATCTGATCAATCGTGGTATGTCGGTACATTTAAATGAAGGCTTACCAGTACAAGCCTGGGGTGACAAATAAGTAAGTCTATTTCACATGCATATATTCATGTTGATTGAAGGTTCATAAGTAAACTTGATTCAAAATCTATCAATTGCATTTTCATTTGGTATGTGGCTCAAATGAATTTGGGTACAAATTCTGGGAGCATCAGAATTTGAAGTTAATCCAGACTGAGGATGCTACTTTCAATGAAATGGAGATCTAAAAAGAGAACAACATAACTCAGGATTGTCAGTTAGTTACCTCTGGAGAGTTCAATTATGCTGAGACAGAAGATACTAGTGATCCGGATGATGAAAAAAAATAGAAGTCTTCAATTAGATGAAGCACAGAAGGTTCTCTAGTCACCTGTCACTAAAGTTCAAAGATCCAGCAATCATGTGTCGATACAGAGATATTCTCTTTCTTTATAATATTTGTTGCTAAGTGGCGTTGTTGAATCAGAGTGCTATAAATAAACCACTAAAGCAAAAGATTCAAAAAAGATGGAATTTGTCATAGATGACGAGATGTTGTGATGAAGGTCAAATTGGATATGAGATTTGTCAGTATTATCATATGGTAAAAGAGCACTACACAGCAAGTGGGTCTATAGGATGAAAAAAAAGTCAGATGGATGCATATGTTATAAAGTGAGACTTTTTATAAAAAGGTTTCAACAAAAATAAAGAGTAGACTATACTAAGATCTTTTCTCCTATGGTGAAGACGACAATTGTCAGAGATATGTTGAGCTTAGTAGCAAAGAAAAATAAAAATCTAGAGCTGATAGATGTAAGGATAGAATTCTTGCATGAAGATTTAGAAGAGAAAGTATATATGATGCAACCACAGGGTTATAAGGTTCCAGGGAAAGAAGATTGGGTCTATAAATTGAAAAAGAGTCTCTATGGCTTGAAGCAAACCCCGATACATTAGTGTAGGAGGTTTAACGAATTCATATTAAACAGTGGGTATATGAACTGTCACGGACCATTGTTATTTCATAAAAAATTTTGGTAATTATTTCATATTGTTTCTTTTGTATATGAATGGCATATTGATAACATAAGTAGATATGAAGAAAATTAGGATGAGAAGATAACCGGTTTAGGTTCAACCAAGAAGATCATTGGGATGAGAATTAGCAGAGACAAGTAAATAGGTACACTGAAGTTGCCTCAAGCAAAATATGTTGAGAATATCCTACACAGATTCAACATAAGAGACAAAATTTGTTTGTAGCCCTTTAAGTGGTACTTTCAAGCTATCTAACAATCTATCACCTAAGTCTAAAGCAAACAAGCGCGGATGGAGAATTTCAAATGCTTTAATGGTTTGAATTCTGACATATATTATGATATATACAAGAACAAAATTGTGCATGTTGCGGGAGTGATATGGGCAATCCAGGAAAGCATCATTGGAGAGCGGTGAAGGGGATTTTGATTCTCAGATATTTGAGGGGAACAATCAACGGGACACTTTGCTTTGGAAGTGCAAAGATTGATCTACAAGTATATGGGAGTGGTCAGCAAGTATATGGGCAATCCAGGCAAGCATCATTAGAGAGCGGTGAAGGGGATTCTGATTCTCAGATATTTGAGGGGAACAATCAACGAGACACTTTGCTTTGGAAGTGCAAAAATTGATCTACAAGATTATGTGGATTTTGATCTGACAGAGGATATAGATGATAGAAGAAGTACAACAGTGTGTATCTTCACTTTGGGGAACACAACAGTGAGTTGGGTTTCTAAGTTGTAAAAGATTGTTGCACTTTCAACTACAGAAGCCGAATACATTGTTATCACTAAGGCTGGCAAGAACATGATTTCGTTGTAGAGCTTTATGGAAGAATTGGGCAAGGAGCGACAGATTGGAAAGCTTCATATTGACCGTATGTATTATTCATCTACTAATAATGTTGTTTTTCAAGTATTGACAAAGTATATTCAGCTGAGGTACCACTTTACTCGTAAATTCTTAGAAGATAGACAGTTATTCTTTGAGAAGATATACATAGCT